GTCAAGAATATCATGTGATTTGACCCTAAGATAAGGAGAGATCCTAAGTTTAAAACCTTTTTTCTTTTTCTTATATTTTTTTTCTTCCCCTTCTCGTACTCTAGTGAGAGTTTCCCAGTTTGTTTGTTTTTACACTGAAAAAGTGAAAGTGAAGAGATCCCAGTTAGGGCTGATCCCAGTTAGGGCTTTGTTGAAGTGGTGGTGGTTGTGGTGGCTAGGGTTTTGATATTTCATCTAAGCAATGACAAGAACAAGAAGATATGCAGTAGTTTTCTTCCTGTGGTTCATCTTTATATTTTCTCAGTTGGGTTTTCTGTTTACTCTTCATGAAGAAAATATGAGGTTTCCTCCAAGAAAAACTAGGGTCTTCTTCGAGGCGGAGTCATCGTCGTCATTTAGTGCACCTCCAGCAAGCTCAAGCTCAGGCAGCCAGACGGTGGACACAGAAGAGGAGAGTTATCACAGCAATAATATTAATAATTCTCAAGGTCAAGGCCAAGTTTATGAAGATGATAAAAGAGTAATTCGCACAGGTCCAAATCCTCTTCATAACTAAGCTATAGCTAGAAGAAGTGATGAATATTAATATTAGCAGCTTTTTCATTTTGCAATTTAAGAACAGTGAATGAGAGCATTGGCTTTAGCCCTTTTCATCAGAAATTTTAAATGTCTGGGGCAATGTGTGAGGAAGATGAAGAATTGATGAAGGGCTAGTGTTAATGCTCTTGTTTCTTTTGCAGTAATAGTGCTTATATTTGTTCTTTTCTCTGTACCTTTCTGTTCATTATGTTAAGATGATTCATTGTGTTTCAACTTCATTTCTCTTCCATTTCTGCAAATTTTAGTGCTATCACTTTAACCTAATTCCCTTCCTTCTGATTTTTCTCCTTTGTAATTTCATAAACTAGATAAATCGATCCACTCAATTAGAAGGAAATGCAGAAATTTTCTCTCTTCCATTTGTTTTGATTTTAATTTAAATTATATAACACAAATTAAATCCAAAGTAGTTTTAAGTTTTGGTTTTATAACTTAAATTTAATTTATTAGGATAATTTTATTCGCTCTCTCAGAAATTGTTAAGTGTCAAACACCTTAACCCTTTTTTGTATATTGTTATAAACTTCTATTTATCGGAGCTTTAATACTTCTAAAATGAAACTTTTTAATATTTATGATTTTTTTTATATAATTTAAAAATTCTTAGAACGCTCTAAACTCTAGTGAATAAAATTAATTCTACAGTTTTATTTTTATCTTCTCATGCCATTGAGCTATCTTTTTTTTTTTTATTGGGGTGTTATGCATATCTTAATTAATATCCTAAGTACATTGAATACACTTACAGCCATTAAGCTATCTTATTACCAACACCATTATTTTTATTAAATTTCTACTATCTAATTTGGCAATGTTGCTGGTTGCCCTCGACATCCATTAAAAGCAAGACAAAAAGGTGAAACATGGTGAAATCGAGGCACATTTTCCCATAAGAAATTTACCATATATACATTTTTGTCTTCCCTAAAGCTTAGGTGTAAGAATCTTGGACCATTAGATCACCATAACAACTACCCAGATGAGAAAAGATCAACGGCTGAGCGTCAAACTTAAAATACATGTTCGCTGGTAGTTGCAATGACACTGTTGAGGATTTTAATAATTAAATTTTGATTTGATTATTCCTAGAAGTATTATTAATTAATTATTATTAATTATTTATATATTTTTGACTTAAATGCATCCATGTTTCTCAATGAGGATGCCTGTCCTACTGGCCCAACACGCTTTCTCAAGCCTTAGAAATTTGTACCCTACAACATTTTGTTTAATGGTAACAAATTTTATGTTGCAAATTTATTATAAGTTTTAGTACTATATTATAAGTTTTTGTGTTATGTGAAAAAGGTTTCAAGTCTTTTGGTCAATCACCCAAATTTTATATATGGGTTCCTAGTTAGTATTTGGAATTCCCAATTATACTCCGATAATAAGATTACAATCACAAAAAATTCTTAAATACAAACGTTTCAATTTTTTTATATTCAAAATATATATTTCTAAAGACACTCTTTTTGGGTGATTAGATCAGTTTGAACGTATTTTAACTAATTTTCGGAGGAATGAAGTTAACTTATTTTCTTATTCAAAATATATTCCTAATGATACCTTTTTTTTTTTTAACTAGAAGTGTTTGTACCAGTTTGTATGTATCTCGACTAATCTTTTAGAATCCTAAAGCTATCAACATTAAAACCTTCCTGTGGCCATACTTTTGCATTCAAACATAAAATTTCACTTAGCTTTCATCGGACGTTTACAATGGAGAATGACTACATATATAAATAATAATTAGCCATAATTGTAACACTGAATCCATGGAACACAATTTGTTTTATAAAAGGTTAGTGAGTGGTTTAGCTTAAAAGGGTAGATACAATTTAATGTATTTTATCTCCTTTCCTAAATTAATAAACAATTTGCCTGTCTCAATGTCACCTATTGACAAAACAAAGTTTATGATCTCAAGGTGAGATCTATAAAGAAGCTATAGAAACTTCCTTGGAATGTGCTCAAAAAAGGCTGGAGAAAAGGGCAGATATTTCTACTACGACTACTACTTCTTCTAATAATAATAATCTAGGGTTTTGAAAATTTCAAAAGATTCTGTGCAAACTACTAAAGTTCATATTTTATGCAAGGTGGGGAGAGAGAGAGAGAGATGGTACTATTTTCCCCATGAAATGAATGTTTGCTTGGTGGTCATTATAGTGCATTTAAATTTCCATGCAGAGAAGATAAAAGAGAGTGTGATCATGAGAGTGAAATTTACCTCATTTCTCTCTCTTTGTCAACTTCCATATAACTCTTGTTTATTGTCTTCACCCACCTCAGCTCTGGCTTTGTGCAGGTTTCATTTTCTGGACACCTTCAAGATCTTCTTTGCCTTCGCCATCACCATTTCTATCACCTGTATGGAAGCATTAACCAATTCTGTGACCCACAATACTTCATAATAGTGTCAGTTGGAGGGCTCAATTTATTACAATATCAACCACCCAGAAAAATTTGTATTAATGTTAATTATTACAGGTCACGTTCATGCTCTACTTGATTTTCGAATCCCGGCTAAAGAATTTATGCATTCATATCAGAATTTTGAAGAACAAATACATTGAACTAATTTGAGAGCAACCTGGCTAGCTACCAATAATATAGTATATGCAATGAAGTACAAACAGCTACACAAGATATTGACTAGTGCCCTAACAAACAAATGTGTGGCAATAAATTCACTGTAAACACACTTCAGGGGATGATTTTATAATATGAGAAAAAAAAAATCAATATGTTGACTGCAGCTGTGTTGGGTTCTTTTAGTATTTTACTATATTCCTAAAGTGAAAGAGACCAAGAAAATGAGTAGTCAAAGAGAGTGAAAAGCGCATGTGCATAGAAAATGGAAGGGTATTTTAGTTCCCTTATGTGTTTGAGTGAAATGCAAGTTTTTCTATCCAAGAAAGTAATAAACAAAGCAGCAAAGAATATGAAAAAAATGTAGACAGTATTGGCAACTTGGCATTTTTTTCCACAAACATAGCAAGCAGTTGCACAAGAAGAGAGGACTTTTGTGGGTGTTATGTTGGCTAATGAAATCAGATGAGTTATATTGGTGTCTTATCCAAAGAAGGGAAGGGGGTGTCAATTTCCCTTACAAGTATTTCTATTTTTTATTTTTTATGGTAGTGGTTACACTTGAAATTTGAGTTCTAAAAAATATTGTTCTCTTTTCAAATCTGTATCAAAGAAAACAAACAACTCATGTTTTCTTAAGAAAATATATGTTCCACAAGCTACTAAAAGCAAAGAGTCAAGATTTCATTGCAATTTATTTGGTAGGAAGAAAGTAGGAGGAAAGTAAGAAGAAAATAAATATGATAGGGAAAAAATCATCAATTCAGTCAAAGGAAAATGATGAGAAAGAAAAAAAATCTTCTTTCAACCTACAGTACTCAATCTCTCATAAAAATTATATAAAGTTGATAAAAGAATAAGATCAACCAACTTTACATGCAATGTATAGACATCGACATATAATGACTTTTCTTCCTCTTTGTGAAAAGATACTATACAGTAATGTGACAACCATCTTTCTTTTTCCTTTCAATCCTCAAGGCCAAGACGTTTGGCCACATGACATTTTATTTATTTATTTTTCTAGGTGGATGTTGAAAGAGAAATAGAAACACCATCATGTGACCAAGTATGGTTAATAAGAGGTCTTTATTGACTTTAAGTATTATAAACATATGGTAACAAATGCTCTATTATTTACAAATTATGTCAGTACCTAGATCCGCATGTAACATGTGGGTTGAACTTAGTCTTACTAATAAAATTGTAATTTAAAACTATCAAATGAATACCTTTGAGCTATTCAGAATTGAGTCATACCTTAAGCAGGCAGTGTCATAACAATACAGGAAAGACAAGTACAGTGGGCCTCTGAAACTTTGACCCTGTAACACAGCTCTCTAAATTGACCCACAGTTATAAACTAACTTTTAAGTGTCATAGTACATGAATAAGAGGGAGTTTGTGAAAGGAAGTTTAGAAAAGCAATAGCATATGACCTAAAGAATTGGGTGTTTCATCTATTGCTCCTTGCTAGTGTCACCGACCCATCTTCCAACAATTAATTTTTACTTCAGTCCTGCTCTTCATAAATCATGTTAAACAAGCAACTAAAACCTGTAAGATGAATCTCAGAATCAGCTAGCAGCAGGCATCATAAAGAGCAAAGAGAACCAAATCAGACCGAATCAAGCACTTCAATGTTTATGGAAAGCATGAGAAACAAAATAAACTATTTTGAACATCGTCTAATTGGGAGTCAATTAAATCGACATTTATTTCGACTTGTTTAAATACAGCAGTCTAGGTGAGATGGATTCATAATCAATACAACCAAAAAAATAAACTTCAATTTCTATTCACTCGTTTATTTCTTTTGCCCTGCCAAACGTATGGTACTCATGATGCTTGAACACTGATGATTTTCTTCTCCTTTATAAATGAAGACTGACTTGTGCAAATCCAATGATATGTTTCCCCCGGGTGATACAACTGATAGTGGAGGTTCATCAGAAATTTAGAGATGCAGTTTATTGTTCCAATTTTATAGAACCTCCAATCCTGATGGGAGTTTCACACGTGCAATATATTGCAGCACTTCAAGCATAAGAGGAACTTCAAATACGGGACATCAAATTGGGATTTTCAACTGACAATGTAAGATACTAGAAAGCATAACTGCCCAAATATCAAATCAAAAGTCGGTCACTTTATATCAGAAATCTTTCTATATAAGATCGCAGCTGTATGTTAAAACCTGATTAGACACATTGAAGCTTACTTGACAATTTCAGGCAAAAGATGGTTCATCAGCTACCTAGAGAAACTTCCTGCCCTAACTTTGGCATGGATCCAAATAGATGCTCTTTGTCAAGGGCAGAGAATGTTGCTGAAGCTCAATTCAATATTGAATGGTTTTAGAGCTCGAGTCTGCTACTTTGACTAGAGACTGAACCTTTTTGATTAAACTGTGTTTCCAGCATAACCCAATGTTAGACTGCTCTGTCTCACAAGGAAGTTCAAAACTGAAGTTAGCCTTGTCTTGCTAAATACAGTTTACCTTTTGAGCTCCAACCACATGTCATGATTGAGAAAAATGGACATGAATACAGCTTTCCGGTCTTTGTCCAGCTTCAAACGGGGAATTACCATTCACAATTACCAGAAGTCCTTGCATGAACAAACACCACTTCTGAAATGGTGAAAACGGTTCTTATCTCTCATGATGATATCCCTCATGGTAATTTTAGAAACAAATTTAGAAAAAGTATGGCAATCTTCACAAACCCTCAAGTTCTTAATCACCCTAATGGGTAACTCTAATCTTACATTCATAAGACCAAAAGCAATGGCAAGCTTTTCGCTGTGAGTGTTGAGTGTGGCTTCCTTTTCCTCTGTTTCCACGTCATGGAACACATAATTAGTTTTCGGAATGTATCCCATGCTCTTTATCTGTTTCAGCAAATCCCCCAGTTTCTCATATATCAAAGGTGATTGTGAATGTGATCTGTCTCCTCCATGGAAAATGTGTACTTTCCCATCACTTAAGACTGAGCTATAAGCAGCAACTTTCTTAATGCCTTTCTTTCTCATCCTCAGTCTAACTTTACCAACACAATCCCACCTCCCGGCAGCTGCATACATATTAGACAATAACACATAATAGGAAGCAATATCAGGAGCTACTTCAAAGAGCAAATCTGCCACATGCTGACCTAATTTTACATTGTTATGTATTGCACAAGCACCCAATAGAGCCCCCCAGACTCCTGAATCTGGTTCCATAGGCATACTCTTGATGAAGTTATATGCCTCCTCTAGATGTCCTGATCGGCCAAAAAGATCAACCATGCAAGCATAATGTTCTTTTCTAGGTTGAATATTTTTGTTATTTGATCGAGCCATGACATCAAAATATACTCGACCTTCTCTTACTAAGCCAGCATGGCTACATGCTGATAAAACCCCAAGGTAACTTACATAGTTTGGACGCAATCCCTCACTCTGCATCCTAGTAAACAGTGCCAATGCCTTTTCACTCTCCCCATTCATTGCGTACCCTACAATCATAGTACTCCAAGAAACAACATTCCTATGCATCATTTCCTCAAACAAAGCCATTGCCAACTCAACGCTACCACATTTCACATACATATCAAGACGCGCATTCTCAACTATTACATTACACTCGATTCCTTCTTTTGCTGCAAACTCATAAATCTCCTCACCAATCTCCAAACACCCCAATTGACCACAAGCTGAAAGAGCACTCACAATACTGACAGCATCAGGCTTAATCCCAACCTCCCTCATTCTACGAAATAATGCAAGACCCTTACTAGCTTGCCCCATTTGCACACAAGAAGAAATCAACGCATTCCACGCCACTAAATCCCTCTCTATCATACTCTCAAACAAGAACTCACCCAAACCCACCTCCCCAAACTTCACATACATGATCACCAACTCAGTCCTCACCACTGCAACAAACTCCAACCCGTGTTTCACCACGTGTCCATGCACAGCCAAACCAGCCCACATATCAATCAAATCCCCGCACGCCTTCACAACAAACGGATAAGTAAATCTGTCAGGAATGATATTTAAACAATGCATTTGGCTATAAACTGAAACAGCTTCAATGGGTATATCGTTTTTAACGTACCCTTTAATAAGAGTGTTCCAGAGAAACGTTCTTGGTTTGTGCATTTCGTCGAACAGTTTACGCGCGTAAATCATGTCGCCCAAAAGGGTGAGGTTTGTTAAGAGTTGGGTGATGAGAGCGTTCTTGATGGAGAGGCCTGTGGTGAGGATGAGTGCATGGATTTGTTTGAGATGGTTTGGGCGTGAAGAGCAAGCGTGCAGGAGAGTTGTGAAGAGTTGTTTTGTTAAGGCCATTCGTGGCATTTTGTGTATTTTTCTTCTTGTTCAAATTGATTTCTGTAAATTTTCTAAGCCTTTCATGGCGCGAGAATTGCAGAACAAAAAATTTTGAAGTTCATAGTCACTCAGCTGATTGGTCCTGTTTGGTGAAAGTGTTCATAGTAGCCTTGAATTAATTGGTCTTATTAAAGCTCATAAGCTTATAATAAGTAATTATTATTTCTGTTTAAGATTAATTAATTTCTGTTAATTATTATTGTTTTTTCTCTTAAAATATATTAAATACAAAATAATATGTCATTAATCTTAAATAGAAATAATAATATCTAGTAGCCTTAAATTAAGGGTTAAAATTGATGACATATCGTAAGTTTCTCTTAAAATTTATATAGAAATAATAATATTATTTAAAATTTTTGTATATATATTATCTAGTTTAACCTCACTCACGTTAAAATTAAGGGTAAAAATTGACGGGAAGGTGTGTATATGATAGTTTTTTAACTTAATGATTGTCGAGTATCAACTTATTTGAGTTCTAAAGGGGTGTAAGTGTCAGGAAATCTAAACTTCATAGATGAATTTGCTAAAGTTTGTGTAATATAATATAGTATCAACTTGATCTGGTTTGATGTAGCAACAAAAATCATAGGTAAACGATTAATAAGTCGATAGAATTTATAATATAGTGTATGAGTTGATAAATAATTACCGAATCTGTTTTGTACCTTTTATTATTATATTAAACATTTAACAATATGAAAATTTTTATTATTTCAAAAACTTTAAAGTAATTTATTGTTATTTCAATGCATTAATTTTTTTTTTCTGCAAGCTCCCTCCCAACTCCTAAGTGTATTGTTTCACTAAAAAACTACTAAAATTCTGAAAAACTTGTTAATTTTTATATATTATAATTCTTATTTAAAATATGTTAAATGCCAATGTTTCATGTTATAGATATTTTCTTTGAACAATTAAAATAATAAATATTCGTATAATTAATTTATGGCAAATTGAAAATTGTTTGAACCAAAAAAGACAATTCTGGCCGGTATGGCAACGTGTTCTAAGTACACACGTTTAAAATTTGCAGCATAACTCTAAGGTCACCCACCACCATTTCATATTTATTCATGGGACGCTAACCCCCAGCTCCTCACCTCTTTACGATTCTGCCAAAACCAATTGTTTGTCTTTTGTCCCACTCTCTCCCTACGTTACGTAACAGTCAAATCACAACCTGACACCTCATTTTCCCTCTAAAATATCTTAGTTTTTGCTTACGTGGCCACCTCCCACTGGTCATTCATATATATATTTGTCATCACAGACGCCTGAGCTTCCAGAGACGCTCGCAGTCTCTCACGCAGTTCGAGCTACGGCGATGGCTTCCTTGTCTCTATGTCGATGGTCTGTGAAGACCGCCGCTGACTCCTCCGCTATTGAGCTCTCTACAGATCCATGCAATTATCCGGTTTTATTTTTTTGTCAGAGTAAGCGACGTCGTTTCGTCGCTTCTGCTGCACACAACTCCTCCTCCTCCTCCTCCTCCTCTTCTGGTTCTAATGCGAGTTCGATATCGAAGAAGAGGATAGAATTAGATGTTTATAGCTCGAGTCAAAGGAAAATTGTTGATAATTCGAAAAACGAAGTCGTTTTAGCTTCTCGGAAGAGACGAACCATTAGTTTTAAGTCGCTGTTTGGGAGGAGATCGCTGTGGCGGAGGATATTATTTGCGTCTAAGAAAGTTAGGAGTATCATTTTGCTCAATGTCATCACTGTTATTTATGGTAAGCTTTTCTTTTTTTTTTCTTTTTTTTTTTTTTTGGGTGTTTGGTAGCTAAGAAAATTGAGTTAAAAAAAAAATTTGAAATTTGGATAAGTTTGGAGAATTTTTTTAATTTTATTTATTCTTCTTTACGTTTTGATTCGGGATTTGCTTATTTATATTTTGAGATTTTACTGAAATTGGTTGCTGTTTTTGTTGCGAACTTGCGATGAATACATTAAATTAATATGTTATTTGCTTCCATTCCACCTCATGTATCTATCAAAAGTTGTTAATTTTTCAATGAACGGAAGACATAATAGAATTGATAATTTTTTATTTATTAATTTTATAGAATTTGATAATCTCAGATACAATTGTCTGTAAATGAAAATCATAATTCCAGGCATTGCATATAACACCTTTTCTGCATGATAACACATAATCATAATTTAAGACTTGTGCTACTTAAGGTTGTTTGGCTGTTGAACAGTCCAAGGTTGTAAAGGTTTCCGTTGATAGTGATGAGTGGAACTGTAGTTAAGCATAATGATGAATTAGTGTCTGAAAGGCTTGATTCTGGGATTGCTATTTCCTTATCACTGGTTTTGTTACGCCTGATTCTTCTTGTTGATACCTATGCAGCATCGATCCATGCCTGGTTGCTTGCCTTCACTGTAACTCTTGTGAAATGCTATCTGTTGTGTACTCTCTAACAGCCATGGAAATGATGTAAAGGTTTTAACTTCAGTTTACTTCAATATTGTAGCAAGTAACATCCCTGTTCTGAAAGAGGTGGAAGCAATTGTAGATCCAGCAGCCTTCAATGCTATGAGATTTGCTGTGTCTGCCATTCCGTTCATCCCATTTATGTTGCAAGCACGAGATGATGTTGAGACCCGAAATGCAGGAATTGAGTTGGGTTTTTGGGTCAGTCTGGGGTATCTGATGCAGGCACTTGGATTAATAACATCTGACGCTGGACGAGCATCTTTTATATCAATGTTCACTGTAGGTTTCTTGATTAATCTCATTAATATACCAAAGGGAAAGTTTCTTACCCTCTGAGATACCTGAAGTATGATTATGGTATATTTTGGGTGCATTATCAGGTAATTGTGGTTCCCTTGCTTGATAGTATGTTGGGAGCAATAGTTCCTGCGTGGACTTGGTTTGGAGCTGTGATGTCTGTGGTAGGAGTCGCAATGCTGGAATCCAGTGGGTCGCCTCCAAGTGTAAGTGTTTTTTCAATTTCTACTAGCTGTTTCTTCATTCATATGGTGTTGTTAGAATATTTTCTGATGACCACACTGTAAGCATAAATGTTTTTTAAATGATGAATATTACTAAAAATAATTAGTTGAAGGTATTTGGTTTCGTGTTTATTTTAATGGTTTGCTCTATATTTTTACAGGTTGGAGATCTGTTAAACTTCTTAAGTGCAGTGTTTTTTGGAGTTCATATGCTAAGAACTGAGCACATTTCAAGAAGTACAAGTAAAAAGAACTTCTTACCTCTCCTTGGATATGAGGTTAGTTTATTGTCCAAATGCTTTTATAAAGTTGAACAAATGCAGCTTCTACTTCTTCATGCATGTTTGATTAATTTTATTCCTTCCAGGTTTGTGTTATTGCCCTCTTCTCTGTGACATGGTATTTTGTTGATAGCTGGTTTGGTAGTATTCAAAGCTGGGACCCATCATCTTTGACTTGGGCAGTTTTTTGGGATTTGATGGTTGCATTTCCATGGATACCTGCCCTGTACACAGGCATATTCTCAACAGGGTTATGTTTATGGATAGAGGTAAAAATTCATTGAATCTATGGAAACTTTATTTGGAGATTGAATATTTAAAACAAAACAATTCCAACTTCCCACAACAATATATTCAATAACTGACAGGCATGTTGTATTTTTAATCGTGTTCTCCCGTTTGATTCAACTCTGTAATCTGAGTTCACTTTATGTTAATCATAAAAGAAAATATAAAGGAACATTTGAAGATCCTATTTTCAGTATTCCCTTGAGAGAACAATTTGAAGTTGTCTTTTGATAAGGGCTTATATTAGCCATAAATAGTTTGTTACTAAAAAAGTTGATTTACTGTACAGATGGCTGCTATGCGAGATGTCTCTGCCACAGAAACTGCAATAATATACGGGTTGGAGCCTGTCTGGGGTGCTGGTTTTGCATGGTTTCTCCTTGGTGAAAGGTGGGGTGCGATTGGTTGGCTTGGTGCTTTTCTTGTGCTAGGTAATTTTTTTTTTTCTCTTAATTTTAAATAAACATTTGTAGACTGCAAAATGAGAAAGGGTTTAATAATTGCCTTGATATTGGCATAAACTCAGTGGCTGGAAGGGTCCTGTGTATGTATAGAAGGGAATAGAAATATAATAATTCTCATAATTGGATGTGCTTATAAATGCCACTTGTGGCTAAACTAAGGAACGTAATGAAACCATAATTTTAGACTTTGGGCTGGTATTACTCGTTGGACTTCTAATTTGTAATTGCCTTTAGAATGTATCAGAAGATACATAATGACTGGTTCTCAATGCAGTCTTCTTGGTACACTAGATGTAGCATTTCATGGTCTCACAGTGGATCTATTTAATTATAATCTTTATCTCCATGTTATTGCTTTGACAACAATATTTGAGCATCATGGTGGATTTTAACCATAGTACAATTATCACCAGTCTATACCTTTAAATATGGTGGTGTGTTTAAATGTTGAACTGGGATTTGCTTCTTTCAAAATTGGCATATGTACCTGCACAGTATTTATCAAGTGATTTTATTGCATCTCCATCTAGGTGGAAGCCTGACAGTTCAGCTCTTTGGATCGTCATCTCCCTCAGACTCCATTGAAGATGAAGAGAGAAGTAAGAAAGGTGATCAAGTAGAAAAGGGTTTATCCACCTCTCCAGTTGTCATCAGCCCCAGAGAAGATGTTCCTAAGCTATGAAAAAAGTAAGCCACATTTTTAGTAATTCCTTCCCTCCTGTTTCCAGAAGTCAATTTTGTATGCCTGAAGGCTTTCAGCCGTATATATGTATATATGTGTGTATATTCACAAAATGGAGCAATCAAAGAACTTCAGCATCCATTGTCGTCTTTACTTAATTTCTTACATAATCTTCATCCTTATCATCAATTGCTGAATAATCACAATTTGAATCACTATACATCTACAGTGAGAGTGGCGTAATAATCACTATTTATTCATCAATGACACTAAAACTTACTTAAAATCTGGGGTTACCATTAAAATTAATTTAAAAAAGATGATCTGGCATGATTCAAACCTAATTTTTATTTTTTTATTTTTTTATTTTTATTTTGAATCGTTTCATCTTTTAATCTTGATAATTTCACAGTTTTTTCTTATAAAATCTAATTTTAACCCATATTATAAGAAACTCATAGCTTATATTGAAGCATTCCAGCTCAGCTCAATTCAGCAGACTTCAGCAGCGTCAATATTCTAGCTCAGCATATCAGTCCGATATTGACTGAATGGTCAAAGAAGATAGTTAGCTATTTTGACTATTGTAACTATGGTTAGTTGAAGTTAGTTAAGATTGTTACTTGAGTTAGTACTACAGTTGAATTAGTACAAAAGTTGCATGTAAAGTAGTCGACTGCAATTTTTTCACAATCTAATAAAATCAACTTTCCCAAAATTCTCTCTCCAAAATCTAATATGATATTAGAGCTACAGGATTATTTCTTGAATATGCAGCAGGAGATTCAAACTAGGAATGTTTGACAGTTTGCTTGACTGATAATTAGCTAACTCAGCTATTCGAAGGTTTGTTCGATCTGCTAGCTCAAGTTGATAGATGTTTAATTGTTTGTTTTTGCTTGATCTAGGTCAGTTCAACAAATTAACTCCAACTTAGTTTACAAGTTTGGCTACAAGATTTGTTTCTTTTGCGCTATTGTAGAAGAAATTACACGAAATAATGAACCCTAGTAGTGAGATGACAATGAATCCTATAGATTCAAACTCTCCACTATAGATCCACTCATCGGATACTCCAAGATCAGTATTAGTGACAGAGCAACTCACAGGAACTACAAATTATGGCATCTGGAGTAGGGCCATGACAGTATCACTTCGAGCCAAGAATAAATTGGGATTTGTCAATGGTTCATGTAAAAAACCAACAGATTTAACCCTTGGTGTGCAATGGGAAAGATGTAACTCACTAGTATTAGCTTGGATTTTCAACACGGTGTCGAAAGAGATTTTCAATGGAATAGTTTATCCCATTAGTACACATCAAGTGTGGCAGGATCTTCAAGAGTAGTACTACAAAATCAGTGGAACTAGAATTTATGGAATACAGAGGGAGATAGTTAATCTGACACAAGGAACCATGTCAGTGGCAATCTATTATAATAAGCTGAAATCCTTGTCGGATGAGTTGAGTTCATTGATAAGCTTACCACCTCCAGACAGTATAGCTGCCAAGGCTTATCTTGATCACTTGAATCAACAAAAATTGTTGCAGTTCTTGATGGGGCTAAATGACACTTACTCTATGGTAAGTAGCCAAATATTATTGATGTCACCATTGCCTTCAGTGAAGCAAGCTTACTCGGTTGTTAACCAAGATGAAATCCAAAGGATTTTAACAAGGGCCAACAATGTTGGTCCAGATGTGACTACTACCTTATATGCTCAGAACACGCAGAAGGCGCAAAATCATAATCCAAAATATAAAGGCAAGAAGCCTTACATAGAATGTGACTTTTGTCATTTGCCAGGGCATAAACGTGATACTTGTTACACAGTCCATGGCTATCCAACATGTAACAAAGGGAAAATGAATGGATCCAAGAACAAATCATTAGCAAATCAGGTGCAATTTGCTGTTCAAGGAACTCTTGTTTCGAATACTCCTATAGATTCATCAAAAAGATCTTTTGGAGCCATTCTCTCAGCTAAAAAATACTCTCAACTTCTCCAGTTACTTGGCAAAGAAAATATGCCAGCCTTAGCAAACATAGCAGGTAATACAACTTCACTTTTGTCCTGCTTAAATGAAACTGATAGTTAGATAATAGACTCAAGGGCAACTGACCATATGACCAGTAGATTATATAGTCTAAACTCTCCTATTGATATGGAATCCAACCCAAATGTCTATGTTGGCCTACCCAATGGAACCAAAACTAGGATTAGGCACACTGGTTCTGTTAAATTGGATGACAAAATTAGTCTTGATCATGTTTTGCATTTACCTAATTTTAAATATAACAATTTTTCAGTTTTGAAATTTACTTCATCCAATAATTGTGTTGTCACATTTTACCCTGGTTTCTGCTTAATCTAGGACCTCTGGAGTGGCAAGTTGAAGGGGATTGGTAAAAAATTCTAAGGCTTGTACTCCATGTTCCTCTTACACAACATTTATCACACACTCTGGATGTTCATGCACTTGCAAAAATACTTTCCTCAAATGTAGTTTGTAATGCAGTAGTAAATAAAGGTTTAAGTCCTAGCACAAAATCTATTTTTTCTAGTTCACAAACTATACCACATCCCCTTAATGAACCTAAAGCATTAAGCCCATCTAATCTTATTGAACCCAAACCCTTAGTGCAATCTAATCTTGCACCCTTAAGAAAATCAACCAGGCCTACAAAACCACCTATTTGGACTACTGATTTTCATTGTCCAACCATTTCCTCTACCTCACAAACTCATTGTGTACAATACCCAAGTATCAAGTATGTCTTAGCAAAATATCCTCCTTAACTGAACCTACCAGTTTTTACCAAGCTTCTAAAGATCCAAAATGGGTTAAAGCTATGTCAAAGGAGATAAAGGCTTTAGAGGACAATCACACTTGTTCTTTGGTTACTTTGGCTCCTGGAAAAAGTCCAATTGGATGTAAATGGGTGTACAAGTTGAAATTCAATGCTGACGATACTTTAGAAAGGTATAAAGCCAGGTTGGTGGCTAAGGGTTACACACAACAAGCAGGCATTGATTATGAGGAAACATTTTCCCCTGTGGTTAAGATGGTGATAGTGAGAACCATATTGTCCATAGCCTCAATTCATGATTGGCCTTTATACCATCTTGATGTTGACAATGCTTTTTGCAAGGTGATTTAACTAAAGAAATCTATATGTCTTTGGCTCAAGGTTTCCATAAACCAGCAAGACAACATATTGTGTGCAGACTCAACAAATCCTTATATGGTTTAAAATAGGCCTTTATGGCTTGGAATTTCAAACTGACTTCTGCATTGATTAAAGGTGGTTTTATTAAATCAAAATCAGATTATTCTTTGTTAACAAAGATCATCGCTAACCATCAACACCAAATTGGTACAATTTTCATACCAAATTGGTATGACTTTTAGTGTATTTTACTATTGCATCTCCAATCCATTGCACCAAATATTATACTAAAAAGAATATTCTATTTTTTTCTATTAATAATCAACAATTAATTTATTTCACTAATTATTTGTGTATATATTAATTAAATATTGGGAATGATATTTTTATTAAATAATAATAACTTTGAAAATTATACTAATTTAATAAAATTAAGCATTTATTTAATCAAATAAACATTATAATTAATGTAAAAAAAATTACATCTAACACAAAAAAAAAAAAAAAAAAAAACCACAAATTGGTGTGGATTCCACACCAATTTAGTGTGATACTATTCATTCACACCAATTTGGTGTTGGATTGGAGCAAAATTTCTACACCATTTTGGTATTTTACACCAAAATGGTGTTGGGTTGGAGATGCCCTAATAGACATTGTACTCAAATTGTGGTGGTCCTAGTATATGTTGATGACATAGTCATCACTAGTAGTAATTTAGCCTTGATTAATGCTGCTAAGCAGTTGCTTCAGTCCAATTTCAAGCTCAAAGATTTAGGACTACTTAGGTATTTTCTTGGTCTAGAGGTTGCCAGGTCAATCAAAGATATAACTCTTTCCCAACATAAATATACTTTGGAATTGATTTCTACTACAGGTTTATCTAGTGCTAGACCTTCCATCATTCCTCTTGACCAACATGTGAAGTTTACTTCATTAGATTATGATAAACAGTTTGACATTTTTGGAGACCCTTTGTTGGCAGATGCTTCCATTTATCAGTAACTCATAGGCAAGCTTCTTTACCTATGCATGACTCGACCATATTTGAGTTATTCAATAAACTTACTAAGTTAGTTTATGCATGCACCTAAGGAATCTCATATGCAAGCAGCCTTAAAGATTGTGAAGTATATAAAATCTGCTCTCGGTTTAGGTTTGTTCTTTCCATCTGATAGTTCTTTATATCTCACTGCTTATTTTGATTCAGATTGGGCCTCTTGTTTACTTACTAGAAGATCTGTTATTGGTTTTTGTGTATTTTTGGGGAATTCACTTTTGTCCAGGAAATCTAAGAAACAGGTCACTGTTTCTTGGTCTTCTTCAGAAGCTGAATACAGGGCACTGACCTCTGTAGTTTATGAAATTGTATGGATAGTGTAATTACTTTTAGAACTGGGTTATCCTCCTTCTTCCGCTGTTCCCCTGTTTTGTGACAACCAATTTGCATTTCATATTGCTTCCAATCCAATGTTCCATGAGCGTACCAAGCACATTGACATTGATTGTCATCTCTTTCAAGAGAAACTTCAAGTTGGTCTTATTACTACCAAATATGTTCCCAGTAATGAGCAACAGACAGAGCTTCTCACCAAAGCCCTGGGCAGTCATCTACATCATCATTTTTTGTCTAAGTTGTGCTTAATCTTTATCACTCACCAACATGAGGGGGGTATTGAAGCATTCCAGCTCAGCTCAGTTCAATAGACTTCAGCAACGTCAATATTCCAGTTCAGCATATTAGTCTAATATTGATTGAATGGTCAAAGAAGATAGTTAGCTATTTTGACTATTGTAACTATGGTTAGCTGAAGTTAGTTAGGACTATTACTTGAGTTACTTACTACAGTTGAGTTAGTACAAAAGCTGGATGTAAAGGCAATTTTTTCACAATCTAATAAAATCTACTTTCCCAAAATTCTCTCCCTCCAAAATCTAATAGCTTATATTTTACTTTTAAGTACAAATTGATGAAATATTTTAGACAATAAAAGAAAATGAGTGAAGATGGATACTAGGAGATCAACGAAGTGGTGAAATTAATTGATGGACGGAGGTAATCAATGGGGAAGAGATTTAGATCGATATAGATGAGTTCGTAGTTTTGATTCTTATTGATAGAGATAGTTTATCGTTTTGATTAGAAACTTACGGCCATAGCAGTGGAGTTCCTCTTGGAGCATAATATGCTTGAAACATCTCCTGTTAATTGTTAGTTAATTAGTTGAAGTTTGTTATTTTAGCTGTACATCAAGTTAGTTTTAGTTTGTGACATTGATAAGTTGGATTCTAACGGATTTCAGTATATAAACCATAACTTCTCTGTTTTTCTTCATAAGTTCAATAAAAGAATTTATCCAAGATCTATTTTTCTCATGGTATCAGAGTGCTTCTGCTCCCTTGTCTTCTTCTTCTTTGTTCTACTATGAATTCAATGGCGAATTCAGATCCTACACAGAATTCGTCAAGCCATTATTATCTTCATCCAAATGAAAATCCTGCAGTTGTCTTGGTTACACCTGTTCTTAATGGCACCAACTATCATTCTTGGGCATGCGCCATGAAAATGGCTTTACTTTCCAAGAACAAGCTGAAATTTGTTGATGGAACACTCCGAGCACCTTTGACTACTGATCCAATGTTTTTAGCTTGGGAAGGATGTAATACAATGGTAATTTGTTGGCTTAATCATTCTCTTGCACCTTCAATAACTAGTACCATGTTGTGGATTGATAAAACATATGAAGTTTGGGAAGATCTTAGGAAAAGGTTTTCACAGGGAGATATTTTCAGAATTTCAGATCTCCAAGAAGAGATCTATACTTTCAAACAAGAAGATCGAAATGTAACAAATTACTTTACTGAGCTTAAAATTCTCTGGGATGAGTTACTAAATCTTAGGCCAATTCCTTGCTGTTCTTGCACGAATCTGTGTTCTTGTGGTGCTTTAACTAAGATCAAGACTTATCAAAGCAATGATTATGTGATCAGATTTCTCAAGGGCTTGGGTGATCAATTTGCCATAGTAAGATCCCAAATTATGCTCATGGAACCATTTCCTTCCATAAACAAGGTATTTTCTTTGGTTGTGCAACAAGAGAGACAAATGGTCTCAGGTGCATCCAAAGTGTTTGTAAGCAAGACTACACGAGAAGAAGTGCAGAGTTCCTCTAAGCAACGAATCAAAAAATCAAATCAATCACAGCACAATGGGGATAATAGGTTCTGTACATTTTGTGGCAAACTAAGACATACAATCGAGACATGCTATAAAAAGCATGGTTATCCATCTGGGTACAAGCCAAGAAATCAAAACTATACTGCTCATAATGTCATTTCTGGAGAGGATACTGAAAGACCTGATGAATCTTATCAAAATACTGCCACGCCAGAAGGGATTCTTGAACCTGGTGATTCTTTTACTCAAGAGCAATATCAATAATTGCTTGCCTTAATTCAGCATTCTGGTGTTGATAAGTCATTGCACATTACCAATCAAGTTACTGCTCAACCTGTTCTTGCTGCTAATTTTTCTTCTTCAACAGGTAACCATTTTTCTTTGCATTGTTCATCCAGTTCACAACTATGGGTTGTGGACACGGGAGCTACCGATCATAAAACCCACTCTTTATCATTTTTCACATCTTATAAACAAATCAAACCAATCTTTGTCACTTTACCAAATGGCACCAAGGTCAAAACACAATACTCAGGCACTGTCCATCTCACTGAAAATTTAGTTCTCACATATGTTCTCTTTATCCCTGAATTTTCTTTTAATCTGATCTCTGTGACCAAACTTACCTCACTTCTTCCATGTTGCCTCATTTTTAAAGATTCATGTTGCATTATACAGGACATGAATTCGTGGAAGATGATTGGTTTAGCTAAGGTGGAGAATGGTCTTTTCTTAATGAGAAAATTAGCAGTCAAAGTTCCTTTGGCCTTTTCAAAAATTTTAGCATCTACTACCAATATAAGCTTGGATCTTTGGCACTATAGGCTTGGTCACCTTTATGATTCCAGACTTAAACTCCTTGCACCATACATTCTGATCTTAAGTTTTTGGATAACTCAACTTGTACTATTTGCCATTTAGCCAAACAAAAACATTTGCCCTTTCCTGTAAGTGTTACAAAATCCAATAATTGTTTTGATATTGTACATGCTGGCATTTGGGGGCCTTTCTCTACACCTTCTGTTCATGGCCATAGATATTTTCTAACAATTGTTGATGATCATTCGAGATATACATTGATTTTTCTATTCAAACATAAGTTTGAAGTGAGACCTATTATACAGTCCTTTTTTACACTCATTGAAACTCAATTCTCTACTAAGATTAAAATCCTTCGTAGTGACAATGGTCTTAAGTTTAATCTTCCAAGTTTTTACGCCTCTGAGGGAACAATACACCAAACATCTTGTGTAGACATCACATCAAAACAGTGTGGTGAAGCATAAGCATCAACATATATTAAACGTAGCTTGATCACTATTATTTCAATCTAATCTTCCTAAGATGTTTTGGAATTATGCCACTTTACATGCTATGTATCTCATAAATAGGCTTCTTTCTCCTCTTATTGAGCACAAATTTGCCTTTGAAATTCTACACAAATGTATACCTGATTATGCCACCTTAAAGGTATTTGGTTCCCTTTGTTTTGCCTCTACTTTGTCTGTTCATTGCACTAAATTTGATCCTTGTGCCAGAATGTGTATCTTCCTTGGATTCAAATCTGGTACGAAAGGGCTTTGTTCTCTTGGACATCTATTCTAGGGAGATATTTGTTTCACGTAATATTGTTTTCCATGAACATATTTTCCCTTTTGCATCTTTAAAAAATGATTATGTTCCTCTTGTTCGTGAATCTTCGTTACAATCCTCTGATTTTTCTCCTGTTACACCATCATCTACATCTTTTTTACCTTTGGTTAATCAACCTTCTATACCACTTATACCAGGTCAATCTACAAGAGTGTCTAAACCTCCTTCATACTTGGCTGATTATCATTGCCATTCTGCTACTATAGCTACAACTAGTGATCTGCACTCAGGTACTCCTCATCCTTTGTCCTATGTTCTCTCTTATTCAAACTTATCTCCTTCTTATTTATATTTTACACTTGCTGTCTCTGCTTCCTTTAAACCAAAATCTTATCAACAAGCTGTAAAATTTCAATGTTGGTGAGAGGCAATGCAAACTGAAATCAATGCACTTGAGCAAAACAAAACTTGGGTTCTAGTTGATCTTCCTATTGGCAAAACTCCCATCGGATGTAAGTGGGTGTATCAAGTTAAACACAAGGCCGATGGTAGTATTGAGCGCTATAAGGCGCGTTTGGTTGCCAAAGGATACACACAAACTGAAGGCATCGATTACTTCGATACTTTTTCTCTTGTTGCTAAACTCACAACTGTTAGATTGTTACTTGTTTTAGCAGCCATACATCATTGGCACCTTAAGCAGCTCGACGTCAACAATGTTTTTCTTCATGGTGATCTCTATGAAGAAGTTTACATGGTGTTGCCTCTTGGATTCCATTCTTCTCATTCTCATAAGGTTTGCAAGCTTCAAAAGTCCCTCGATGGGCTTAAACAAGCTAGTTGCCAATGGTTCTCAAAACTCACCTTTGCCTTGCTCGCATTGGGTTATGTTCAGTCCTCTTTTTATTATTCTCCTTTCAACAAGCACCATGATAGTTCCATCACTGTCTTGCTAGTCTATGTTGACGATATAATTTTAGCAGGCAATAATCTTGGTGAAATTGATCTTGTAAAGAGGTATTTGGATGTTGCTTTCAAGATAAAGGACTTGGGCGATTTAAAATTTTTCCTTGGCTTAGAAGTCGCTCGTACAGCTGCTGGTATTGCATTATGTCAACGTAAATATGCTCTTGATATCTTATTTGATGCAAGGTTCTTGGATTCTAAACCTGACAAGTCTCCAATGGATTGCTCCTATAAGCTTAGTCAATCTCATGGTAACACCTTGCCTGATGTTTTTCCTATCGTCGACTGATTGGCCGTTTACTTTACCTTACTTCAACTCATCCTGACATCTCTTTTGCCATCCAACAATTGAGCCAATACTTAGACAAGCCTACCTCTTAGCACCTTCAACCATCCCATCGAGTTCTTGGCTACATCAAAGGTTGTCCAGCTTATGGTCTTCTTTTTTTCCTACTAGATCCTCTTTAGCTCTTCAAGCCTTTAGTGATTCTGATTGGGCGAGATGCATTGACAGAAGGTGCTCGGTGACTGGTTTTTGTGTCTTTCTCGTATCATCCTTGATCAGCTAGAAGGCTAAGAAGCAGCCTACTGTATCATGTTCCTCTTCAGAAGCTGAGTATCGTGCTCTCGCTTCCACAACTTGTGAGTTACAGTGGCTGCATTATCTTCTTCAAGATCTCCATGTTGATCACCCTCAACCTGCTTTGATTTTTTGTGACAATAAATTGGCTCTCCAGATTGTTACCAATCCGATGTTTCATGAACGCATAAAGCATATCGAAATAGATTGCCATCTGGTTCGTGAGAAAGTGCGCAATGGTCTCTTTCACCTCATGCCTTGTTCCTCAACTGATCAGCTAGCTGATTTTTTTACAAAGCCGCTTGTTGTCGCTCCTTTTGATGCAATTATTTCCAAGCTAGGCATGTCAAGCATACATTCTCCAGCTTGCGGGGGGGTCTTGGAGCATAATAAGCTTGAAACATCTTCTGTTAATAGTTAGTTAATTAGTTGAAGTTTGTTATTTTAGTTGTACATCAAGTTAGTTTTAGTTTGTTAAATTGATGAGCTGGAGTCTAACGGATTTCAGTATATAAACCATAACTTCTCTATTTTTCTTCATAAGTTCAATAAAAATTTATCCAAGATCTATTTTGCTCAGTTTCCGCTATAGACTTCCGGTTGTAGAGAAACGTAAAAACTAAAGAGAGTTGTGAGTTTTGAGTTTCAACAAAACATTTTTATTTTTAAAATTAATTTTAATGTCACTTCAGATTTTAAGTTTTAATGATATGTCAGCAGTCATCCTAATCAAAACTTAACTTAGATTTGAGTAATCTTATGAAAATTGACCCTTTTTTTTTTTTTTTTTTGTGTCAATAAGTGAGAATTTAATTTGAAATCGGTGATAAACTAATGGGAATTTTTGTATAATGATAAAAAAAATTCACAATCTGGAAATGACGATAAATATTTATTAAAAATTATTGAAAGTTATCTGAATGAGAAAAAAATTGATTTGGTTGACAATTGAACTTTTATAACTGAAAGAACAAAAAAAATACTAGAAATAATTATAGTTATTAACTGTTATGCCTAAAGAATGCAGGCCTAACGTAAGGTCCAGTTAGCGTGCAAAAAGTCAGAACATGGGTACACCCGCAGTCGAGTCGCGTGGGAAAAGGAGCAGCATGCTTTTGTCAGAATAGTGGGTGCGTGCTAGACCAGCCAGAAGTTGTGGTGCTCCCACATGTCCAATCCCTACTCCAAATCTTGTAAATCACTCTAGAAGGTGGGCAATGTGACATAAAGAGGGATTTGCACGGATAATCCCACCAACTCACAGATTCAGTAATGATAACTTTAATCTATCCCACTATAAATTGAGAGCTCCTCTCTCATTGAGGGGGATTCGCTATTCTCTCCCAAGAATATATAGTATTCTCTCTCTTGTATTATCATTTGTAAGTCATTTGTAAGTCAGTCTGCTAACGTGACCTGACCTCTATCATTAATACAAACATCAGTGGACGTAGGATTTGCTTCCTTAGCATTCGAACCACTTTAAAAGCTGTTCCCATTGCATTTATTCTCATTTTTCTTGCATTCACGTGTATCTTCTGGGCCAGCTCAGCATTGCACACGTGCGTTTAGTTGGTGTAAAAATCACGCATCAACAGTTTAGCGCTAGAAGGAGGGCCTGATTTAGTGTTCATCCTTCATCAAGAGAATCTCTAACTTACCGGTCCTACAATAGTAAATGGCCCGCCAACCTAAACTTGAGCGAACCAACCAGAGTGCTGAAGGGATCCCCCAAGTCCAGGGAGACACCTCTTCCAAAATACCTCCAGTTTCGTAAAATGCTGTGGGGGATATCCCATCAAGTTCATAACTTGACCCTGCCATTAGAAGCTACTTGGAGAGGTTCGACAATACTCTCCAGATGGTCAACCGAAGGTTAGACCGTTTAGACCAAGGCGTGCCAACCAAATCAGCTTGGGCGGTGCAACCGCCAAAAACGCTTGCAGGTTATGCGAAAGCGCAGCAAAGGGAGATAACCTGTGTCGTAAGCACTGCAGCGCGTTGACGAAAGGGTAAGCAAGTGGCAAAAAATGGGCATACGGGCTCCAAAGGGCCAGCGAACTCTGACCATGTCCCGAGCAGAATACTAGTGACGTTAAGACTCAGTGAAAGGACGTAGCTCGAG